ATAAAAGCAGAGCTTCCTGAAAGAATTCAACTGTCATAAATGCCCTCCCCAGGAGTTTCACAACCAAAGAAGACTGACTCCTCTCACTGGAGATGAGAAGGAAGCACCAAGAAATTGCCTAAACAGACACTGTCACAAAACTATCTCCTCTCCATGCACCTAAAGCTCTTGTTTATTTTTCATAAAAGCCATTTGTTTTTCCAGAAGTGCCTTTTCTCCCCTGCCCCTATTAGAATGGTATATAAGCCCTAAATTCTATTTGCCTATTTGAGTCTCGTATTTCTGGGTGCTCCCATGTACATCGATGAATCAAACTTGGTCTCTTCTCCTGTTCATCTGTCGGCTTCAGTTTAATTTGCAGGCCCCACTGACAGAACCTAAGTGGGCTGAGGGAAGGCTTTTCTTCCCTGACACCACACATGAGATGGACAGATGGATTCACAAATGCTAGAACCAGTCATCCTGGACCCTACTCTGATCAGAAGACAAGGACCATGTCTTATTTATTAAGGGAGTCTCCCTAATACCAGAACAATTTGTTATACACCGTAAAGTTCAATAAATACCCATTTCATGCATTTCAATTATGAAGCAGCCTTGCCAACATGGGAGTCCCAAGCCCTGTGCACGCAGGACATGATTGATGCAAAGTGGCTCCAGTTTATGAGTTATCAAAGGAATGGATTTGATTTTCTTTTATGATTATGGAAATCTGCCTTATTATTTTATAGTATGTCACATAAACATTTTTTTTCCTTTTCTCGTACGAAGCCATAATCTCCCTGGTTCTAAGATACGTGCCATACTCTTCCAAATATTCCAAGAGCCTTTTAAATTATAAAATGATGGTACAGACTTTTGCAAAGGGAACAGAAGGTACTTTTCTCCTGGGCCTCACTGGGCATTCATTTCTGTATGCTGGAGGTATAATGTCCTCAACTTCCTTTGAGCATAGACAATTAGGGTTGAAAAGGAACTGAAAGGATGCCCAGTTTAACCACCTATTTGCTGTTAGGATCTGCTCAAGGACAGACGGTAAGTGGGTGCCTCCACTCATGTCACTGACTGTAAGGCACCCCAGTGTGTTCACACATGGCTCACATACATTTCTTTCTTCAGCTGAGCCTAGCTCTTTTTCCCGGCATTCTCACCCCTGGGTCTTGGTCCAAATGTTCCTTTTAGGGTCTCAGAATATGCAGATCTAATTCTTTTCCCACTTGCCCACACCATTACACGCCCTGGGTCCAGCTTTCCTAGGTTAAATGTCTTTGGTTTCTTCAGCCATTCTTCATATCACTTGGTGGCTTTCAAATCTTAAAATTTGTATTAACAATTTTGGAGGGGTGCCTGGGTGGCTCAGCTGTTAAGCGTCTGCCTTCGGCTCAGGTCATGATCCCAGGGTCCTGGGATCGAGCCCTGAAATCAGGCTCCCTGCTCTGTGGGGAGCATGCTTCTCCCTCTCCCATTCCCCCTGCTTATGTTCCCTCTCTCACTGTTTCTCTCTGTCAAATAAATAAGTAAAGTTAAATTAAAAAAAAAATTTGGAAAAATTGAGTAAGTAGAAGGCACTTGCCCTTCCAGATTAGCAAGGCTTTTTATAAAGCTATAATAACTGGGAATTTTAGGATTATATCCTCAAATTCTGTCTTTTTAAATTTTTTGTTCTTTTTTTTTTTTTAAAGATTTTATTTATTTATTTGACAGAGAGAGATCACAAGTAGGCAGAGAGGCAGGCAGAGAGAGAGGAGGAAGCAGGCTCCCTGTTGAGCAGAGAGCCCGATGCGGGGCTCAATCCCAGGACCCTGAGATCATGACCTGAGCCAAAGGCAGAGGCTTAACCCACTGAGCCACCCAGGCGCCCTCTTATTTTTTTCTTTTAAGATTTTATTTATTTATTTGACAGAGAGATCACAAGTAGGCGAGAGGCAGGCGGGTTCGGGGGGGCAGGAAGCAGGCTCCCTGCCGAGCACAGAGCCCGATGCGGGGCTCGATCCCAGGACCCTGAGATCATGACCTAAGCTGAAGGCAGAGGCTTAAACCCACTGAGCCACCCAAGCGCCCTTTTATTTTGTTTTTAAAAGAGAGAACGCATGAACACATGTACAGGTGAATTATTGTCCATTATTTAAATTCTACAAATAGGGGCACCTGGGTGGCTCAGTTAGTTAAGCATCTGCCTTCAGCTCAAGTCATGATTGCAGGGTCCCAGGATGGAGCCCCGTGTCTGGCGTCTTGCTCAGCAGAGAGCCTGCTTCTCCCTCTGGCCCTCCCCCAGCTTGTGCTCTTTCACTCTCTCTCTCAAATAAATAAAATCTTTAAATAAACAAATTAACAAAATTCTACGAATATACCCCCACTTACCCATTATTAGTATTTTCAAAACATCCTATGCTCATTCATAGTTGCCCATATGTTTGTCAGTTTTAAAAAAAAAAAGATTTTATTTATTTATTTGAGAAAGAAAGAGAGCAGGAGTGGAGGGGAGGGGTGGGGCAGCAGGAGAGGGAGAAGCAGGCTCCCCGCTGACAAAGCTCTATCCCAACCAAGTTCAAGATGCTTAATGCACAGAGCCACCCCCATGCCCCTCCCACTTCCTTGTTTCTCGTTACCTCTTGTGCCTTCCCTCCTTCTTGGGTTCAGTTTCCTTTTACTTCAAGTACAACCTTTAGGAGTTCTGTCAACACGTGCCTCTGAGTGGTATCCTCTCTCGGTACTCCATTGTCAAGAAGGATCTTGGTGCACGCTTCTCAGCTCCCCGCTCCCCACTTTCGTGGGGGCCCAAAGCCACACTTCCTGTCCCTCTGAGGCCATGACATCCCCCTACATGTCAACTCTGACATATCCCAGCTTCCTGAGCCTGAGCTCATCTGCTTTCCATTCTGGTTTGTGTTTCCTCTTTACTTCTCGTACCTAAGGATTTCCCTTTCTTTGTTTGGAGCTCAACTTTATATTGTTATATTTCATCCTGTGTTTGTCATAGGAGGTGGGGGGGGGAGAGTCCACATTAATCTTTTTAGTTTCTATTACTGGAAGTCCAGATATTCTATTTATAACAAATTTCCCTCTTACCAATGTTTATTATTCTCCTTTAAAATAAACATCATATATTTTGATAGAGAAAACAGACATGACAGAGACAGCTGGACACTTCTTGCTCTGTTTCAGGATAAAAATAAAAGATACAAAATTTTCTAAAAAAAAAAAATTTTTTTTTTGAATCTGGTACATACGGAACATTCCCTCAGCAACAATTTGGGAAAAGGCAATCATCCGCCAAAAAAATGGAATTTCCCGTAGGTCTCTATTTTCTCACATCACCCTCACTCCTGTTTGCTCTACGGAGGTGATTCCGGCTCAGTATTTGATTTTCACCCTCCACACTCAGGATGCCAAAGCAGCATCTTGAGAAACGGGTGTCTCTGCAAGGAAGTCATCCTCAGGCCAGTTCCAGGGCTCAGCTACTCTTGCAAATCAGCAGCTGGCTGGAGGCTGAACTGGTTCCAAATCCTGGGAATTTCCCAGCTCCTAATAGATGAACAAGATCAACCTCATTTGCATTTCATCGTGACTCAGGAATTCCCTGATATTGCATCCCTGGGTAGATTAAAACAAGTCGGTTTAATCAGCCCAAGGCCTTCACCGTCAGGGTATCTGCCTGAGAGATTTCCATACACCCAGTGACAAGACCCAAATGTTCCCATCAAGAAGGAATAGTCCAGGGGTGCCTGGGTGGCTCAGTGGGTTGAGCCTCTGCCTTCGGCTCAGGTCATGATCTCAGGGTCCTGGGATCGAGCCCTGCATTGGGCTCTCTGCTCAGCAGGGGGCCTGCTTCCCTTCCCTCCCTCTCTCTGTGTGCTGCTCTGCCTACTTGTGATCGCGCGCTCTCTCTGTGTCAAATAAAAAAAATAAATAAAATCTTAAAAAAAAAAAAGAAGAGGAAGGAATAGTCCAGTTCAGCCTGCTGGCTAGTGAAGGCCTTATGCCCACAGCAGAATCCCAGTACAGCTCCTCTCAGAAATGTCTCATGGTCGAGGCACAGAGAATGGGTAAACAGCCACGAGTATCAGTGAGTAAACGGACGCACTGCCCAGTTATTTTGTCGGAAATGTGTTCTAAAAAGATCACATATGGGCCAAGAGGAGAAGCCATAGGTGAGGGTAAAGAGTCTTCACAGAGATGACGGCAGAGATGGAACCAGTCACACACTAGCTCACTGGGGCAGACAGTTCATTTCAATAAAATGTATTTCATGTGACTATACAAATGTCCTGACCTAGGAGAGAGGAACCGAAAAAGATGGGCTGGGAGGGGGTAGAGGGTGGGGAGAAGATCAGACAAGCTCCAGTAACCAACTCTGCCATTAATGATAAGAAAATAGCAAGAGAGTAAAGGATATACTTTGCAAAGCCAATGGCAGTCCTGATGAGTGCTGGGTTTATGTCCCTTGGTTCCTTACCCTTCCAAAGGAGCAATGACAACCTCTACCTTGGGAAGGCTGGGTCCCCTTGAGCACTGTGTATGACTTTGGTCACGGGTGGCCCCGCATTGTGTTGGGTCCCATTGTGAATACCTGAGTGCACGTTCGGCGGTCAGTGGAATGGCTACCAAGTTAAGACCCCGGTGGCACACCTCATCGTTGTCGCTTTTTTACAACAAACAGGCGAAGCCATCCCTTTCTCACTGTGAGCACTGAACCAGAGGGAGAAGACAAAGAGCTGTATTCCTTAAGACCAGATTTCATCTTCACATGTCATCCAAGGGGTAGGAAAGGTAAGAGGAAAGGTCCGCCTACTGCAAATGCAATTGAAGACGCTATTGCAGAAGGTGGGAGTTCTGGTTTTAGAAGCAGCTAGACTGGTGGATGGAGAGGGGCAGCTGTACTGACTTCCAAGTCACCTTTTTATCCCAGACACGGCCTCCACCGCAGCCACAGGGGTGGGCCAGAAGGCTCTCGTGAGGTCGCACAGCCCAAAGGCTGATGGCCAGCTGCCACGACTCACCTGTTGAGATACACCCGCTTCTCGGTGAACTGCCCGTTGCCATGGTGAGGATCCTCAAAGGGTTCATTCTGGACGACCTCCACCCCTTCTCCGCGGTCGCTCTGTTCATGGCTGTGCTTGCTGATCATGTACAGCTGTCCGATTTTGTACTACAAAACACACAGTGACAGAGAGGTCAGTCAGCCCCACGGCCTGCCTTCGGAAACCCCCCCCCCCCCCCCCCCCCGGTCAACGGTTTGGCAAGCAACAACAGTCGGCACTTTCTACAGAGAAAGAAGGCAGACACATGGGCCTGGTGTTATTTTTTCCTCCGGAGCGAGGAGAATCAGTTGTGAGTCGAGTGGAGATACGGCGTGTTCCCGTGAACAGTTTCCACCTCCTGGGTGATGCCTGCCGGGGTGGCTGGCAGACTCAGGGCTGGCAGCCCCCCAACCCATGGGCAGCAGCAGGAAGAACGCAACCCTGGAGCCCCCCATTCCATTCTGGCCCTATGGGGTTAAATGATGCAAACATCCTATTTTGTGTGGCAACAAACAGGCCAGGATATGTTATTTCTACCCCTTTTCTGTCTCATTAACTACATGGGTTGGCACAATGGGGACTAGAAGTCACCTAACTCTTCCGGCACCCATCTCCGACTCTGTAAGTGTCCTCAAGTTCTCTGTCCCCTAGAACAGCCACTCTCAAGAGTGGCTGGACTTGAGAATCACCTGGAAGCTTTAACAGACTCCAGCTGACCAGGACCCACCATGAATGGAACCTGTATTCACAGACTGATCCACAATGACGGAAGTCTAAGGCATCTTTAACTCCTTTCTGTCCAATTCCACCCACAGTGTAGAGCCTTCCAGCTCGAGGTCCCAGAAGCCACATGTACTTACAGGAAAATGGTAACAGGGAGCAACAGAGACTGTGAACATTCTCTGCCTTGTCTGCGTTTTTGAGCTGTTCTACTCTCCCTCCTGCCTCTCTGAAAACCCCAGGGCTCACTGGCCTGCCATGCCTTCCCCCAGTGAACTCTCAAGGCAGCAAAACTAATTGGTTGGAGAAGAGAGGCAGAGAGAGGGGACAGAGGGAGTAAAATGACTTTTGCAAGAGGGATGTCTGCTCAGAGTCAGGAGGCACGATGATGCCCAACTGTGGTCCTTCCCGCAGGTTTGGTGTGAAGGAACACGCACACACTGCATCACGTTGTCAAGGCCTCTGGGAAGGGGATAAGGGGCCTGAATCTGCAACAAAATAATGGTGGGCTGTTCTGGATTGCTCCCCAGAGAGCCCAAGCCAGCTGGGATGTAGGTCTCCTGTCTGTGCATCAGAGACAGAAATCGATTTTATGTTATTTTATTTTATTTTTGAGAGAGAGAAAGAAGGTGAGAAAGAGATTTTAAGGTAAGGGGGTAGTGAAATGGACAAATCGACAGCGCAGAGTGCCCTAAGACTGAGAGGACACACACCTCCAAAGGGCCCTGTTTCATTGGGAGGCGGGTGCAAGGAGGGGACTGTAAAGAAAATCTGAGGGCCTCTGGTCTGAGGGCAGCCCTAGGGCCCAGGCCCAGTAACCATGACATAATCAACATAACCAAGAGCAGCAGGCTGGGTCTTCTCCCTGGGCAGTGCTGCCTGTCCCATACCAGTTCCCAGAATGATCTGCACTTTAAAATGCTTCTAACGTGAGTGTGTACGTGCATGCACATGTATGTACTTGCTGCGCACACTCTGGGGAAGAGGGAGTGTGGAGGATAAGAGCAAGAAAGGGAGAGAAATCAAAGATAAAAATCTGTCTTTGAATTTATTTTCAATCAGAAGCTTGACCTGCTTCCCCTTGAGTAAGTCTCGCTCCTACTTCTGCCTATAAAGACTAACTAGGACTCCTTTCAGGAAGAAAGACGGCAGGCCACGTGGGTGGCTCGGTCGGTTAAGTAACTGACTCTTGGTTTTGGCTCAGGTGATGATCCCGGGGTCCTGAAATTGAGACCCACGTTGGGATCTGCACCAAGCATGGAGCCTGCTTGAGATTCTCCCTCGCCCTCTGCCCCTCCGTCACTCACACTCTCTCTCAAATATAGTAATAATAATAATAAAGAAGGAAGACAGTAAGAAAAAGTTTACAGATTGGGGATTCTTGAGATACACCTGTGACGTCACACTCCCCCTTACACAGACGGGCACACGAGCCTCTCACAGGAAGGGTGCCCCGGCTGCCCAGGGGCTGGCGACCACACTGACAGCTGCTTTGTACTTGGTGTTCAAAAAACAAGGGTTTGCCTACCATGGAATGTTATTTAGCCATCAAAAGGAATGAACTACCCATACTGATACAGCTTAATGGGTATAATGGCTTGAACTCTGTTTCCCCAAAATCCTATGTCGAAGTCCCAGTACCTCAAAGGATGACCTTGTTTGGAGACAGAGTCTTTACAAAGGTCATCAAGTTAAAAGGAAGTCATTAGGGAGGGCACTAATCAACAGGACTGGTGTCCTTTTTTTTTTTTTTTTAAGATTTTACTTATTTATTCGACAAACAGAGATCACAAGTAGGCAGAGAGGCAGGGCAGGGCGGGGGGCGGGGGAAGCAGGCTCCCTGCTGAGCAGAGAGCACGATGTGGGTCTCGATCCCAGGACCCTGAGATCAGGACCTGAGCTGAAGGCAGAGGCTAAACCCACTGAGCCACCCAGGTGTCCCAGGACTTGTGTCCTTACCCATAGGGCAAGTTGGACACAGAGACAGAGGGAAGGAAGACAGCACGATGTGACGCAGGAAGAAGACATCATCTCTAAGCCAAGGACTGATGGACTAGCTCCGTCCCTTATGGCCTTCAGAAGGAACCAACCCTGCCTTCCGGCATCCTGATCCCAGCCTTCCAGCATCCACAACCATGAAGCTATCAAATTTGGGTGCTTCAAGCACTCAGCCTGTGGTGTGTGTTATGGTGGTCTTATTGGCAAACCAATACAACGGGCACAGGGTTTCCTCTGGAAGGGATCAAAGTGTTCTGGTTCTGGACAGAGTGGTAGTTGTACAACACTGGGAATGTACCAGGTGCCACCGACCTGACCTCAACATGATGAATTTTATGGGATGTGATTTTTCGGCTCAAAACAAAATTTTTTTTTTAAGTGTTGACTCTATTTCTGACGCAGGTCCGCCTAAAACCAAAACCCATCAAGGGCTCTGGGGGCGGGGGGGGGCAGGGGCTGGCAGAGGGGAGAGGCCTACCACCGCCGCACCATCTTTCGGAGCCGTAGCCCACTCACGTATGAAAGATATATGGCATCAAGGACAACACACGACCCAGAAGGGCCATTAGCCAGACGCGAGTCAGCGCTGGCTCAGGTGCTTCCTGCTCTGTGGAGAAGGGATCGGGCAGAGGCGGCCGGCAGCTGATTCACCAGCGGCCAGGGAAGGGCCTGGCCACTCAGCCTCATTGATCATTCCAGCGGCTCCCGAATGAGCCAGTGCCGGGCAGACGCCAGCCTTAGCTCACTGAGATCACGTCAGTCTGGGGGCGACCAACAGACACTGGATGCGGTAACGCAGGTGACACGAGTGGAGTGGGGGTGGCAGGACACTCAAGGCCAGACATGGTGACGGTCAAGGGCTCGGCAACTGTCACTTCTTTCCCTCCCCAGTACATCAGGCCTGCTCTGCTGGGATCGGGGTCTGGCTTTCACAAGTCTAGGCCTCACCATGATTTTGAAAAAGGGGAGAGCTGGGAGCCACTGCCTCTGAACTTGGCTATTTCAGAAGCTGAATGACCTGAGCCTAAGATCGTGTGAAAGATCAAAGTTGTTTAAACTGTGCCCACATGTGGAAGAACGGAGCAATTATGCTCTAACTTTGTAAAATCAATTGTTATAATTCCAGAGTTTGGGTAATCATCATTACAGGCAATCACGATTAGCGACAGCTCCACGCTGCAGGGCTGAGCCCCGCATGGGCCGTCATCAGAACAGCTACCCCGAATAATGATCTCCGCAGTCAAAAAACATCATGGGGGTTCAGGTCCTTCCCACTTGCACACAGTGCTGCGTGTTTCATAGAGCCGCAAAGCTGGAAGGAAGGCACAGTCGCATAAATGTGCCCGGGGAAGCCGAGCGTTTTCATCAGTCGATAACGACTGCAAACTCTATGACTGGACGCAATCAAATTACTCAGTACAGTTCAACCCGATGGGCACCTGGGGGGCTCCGATGGTTAAGCATCCGACTCTTGATTCCAGCTCAGGTGGTGATCTCGGAGTCATGAGGTCCAAGCCCTGCACTGGGCTCCACGCTCAGCGGGCAGTCCGTTTGAGATTCTCTCTCTCCCTCTGGCCCTCCACCCACCCCCACTCTCTCTCTCTCTCTCAAATCAATCAATAATCTTTAAAAAAAAATACAGTTCAACCTCAAACCTTGATTTTATTATTTTTTTAAAGATTTTATTTACTTGACAGAGATCACAAGTAGTCAGAGAGGCAGGCAGGGTGGGGGAGGGTGGTGGAGCAGGCTCCCCACCGAGCAGAGAGCCCCATGCGGGGCTCGATTCCAGGACCCTGAGACCACGACCTAAGCCAAGGGCAAGGGCTTTAACCCACTGAGCCACCCAGGCGCCCTCCAACCTTGAGTTTAGAAAAGGTGGCTCTAAGCCAGAACTCCTGAGTATATAGATGATTGATCGAGTGTCACCAAAAACTTGCCACAAATATTGGACCCAAAGTTTTAGGCTCAATAGAACCCCAAGCTATGACTGGTTTCCAGTTCACTGCCCCTTCCCAAGTGTTGAGCCTCAGAGATCTCTGTGAGGTCCGACTCTCATATTTCCCCATCCTAAAGAACCAAGGTGGTGGGGGAGGGGGCTGTCATCTTCCCTCCAATCAATCCCTGTGTCCTCCCTTCCTGTCCCCTTTCTGTCTCCTTTGGTCCCGATACCATTTCTAAACATCAGGATGTCAAAAGTGGAGCAATGGCTGTAATAAATGTTACCAACTCTGGATGGAGTTATTCCCCAAAGACAGGACTCAGGACATCCAAAGCCCTGTCCCAGGAATTAAAATGTACGTCTACTTTTGCTTTTGCCATCAAAATGGATGGATGCCACACGACCTGGTAATCACGGAGCGACATCTGGCCCTCTGACTTAACACAACACCATGTATTTTTCCATCTG